CCAGAGTTTACAGCTGGTGAACGCGAAGAAGAAGAAGAAGAAGAAGAAGAAGAAGAAGAAGAAGAAGAAGAAGAAGAAGAAGAAGAAGAAGAAGAAGAAGAAGAAGAAGAAGAAGAATTCAAAATTAATTTTCTTTTTTGTCTGACCCTGTTCTGACTTTTAAAGTCAGGGATTGAAGCGGCACCGGGTGTGAGCGTTGGTATGTGCTACATAGTACTGTAAGTAACGACCTGGAGTGTTTCATCTATCCATAGCTGGCGTGGTCGACCTCGATATGCTTCCATTACGCGTGACAGGGTTCTCAGTTGTGGCACATGTCCAAACCATTTGATCTGTTGTTTCTTGATGTAGTTTAGTACTGGTTCTCCCCCATGTGGGTTCCGGGGCCCCATTGTGGGGAAAACAAGAATAGACCCACTGCCTCCCCAAAAGCATGTCGTAAGAGTCGACTAATTGGGGAGCTTCCTTTGAAGTCGGAGTGCATCTGCCGGAGAGGCAAGGAACCAACAGTCTGTATTCAAGAGAATGAGATCTGTAAAACTGATGCACACGCAACACTCAGGTTCTGAAGCAGGACTGCAGTCCAGTAGTGGACGAGCAACCAGAACCTTCCGCCAGAGTTTACAGCTGGTGAACGCGAAGAAGAAGAAGTACTGGTTCTGTCAGAACTTCGTTTCTGCGGTTATCATTTCTGGTCCTATCTCTTTTAGTTACAGTGGGGAAAAATACTTCATTGAATAGTAATTTTCTTTTTGACATCTGACTAAAAAGCTGATTTGCTTTATTAAATCTGCATTCTATCTCTGCTTAAATGTTGCTACTGAATGAGTTTATGCTCCCTGAGTTACTTGAGGTATCTTGCCTGCTTGTGTTGATGATTTTCTCTCCATATCTTGACTGACTTTTGTTTTTGCAATGGTAGTATGTTCTGTTCTTTCGGTGTTTATTTTCATGTTTTGCGTTTTTGCTGCTATTTGCAGAATTTTCAGGTATCTCTGCAGCTCTTTCTCTGTAGCTGATACACGGACGTGGTCGTCAGCGAAAAGGAGCTCAAGGCACTTAATATCCTAATTAATTTGGGCTGCTTTACGGATTTGATCTACAGATGTGATCAATAACTGGGTGGGAGTGAGGGCAGAACACCTCCCTGGCGGACCTAGTATTGTACATATAACTTTTGATCTCACTATACATCAGCTATTGTAATGAGTTTAGTCAAGAATTGACTTCACAGCACTCGGGGCATTCCATGCATGCTCAGCCTTCATCTTCAGCAGCCAGCGCAGAGTTCCAATACTGATGGTACTGGTCACAATCTGGTTATATGTCCGTCTTGCCTTTCCTCTGAGTGTAGTGAGCCGGCCAGACCCTCTGGTTACACCCAGGTGCCTCATTCTCTCAGGCCATAATAATCTTCTTTCTTTACTGATCGGTTATTGTAATATTATATTGTAATATTCTGGATAACTCCAGCCCAAAAAATGTAAATAATAATAATTAAAAAAAAAAAAAAAAGTCAACCGTCCGTGATCTTTTCGAAGAGTTCAGTGGCATAACTCGCAAACACATAAATAAAAGGGATAAACTCCTACAAGAGGGGAAAACATTCGAACTGTATAAAATGTTTACACTTTTAGGTGTATCTCTTGATCTCTCTTTTGTTCCTGCTCTGTTCCTGGACTCTGTGTGACACTTCACAAAACACCTTTGTCTGCAGAAACTATGTAGTATAAAAGCTGAACTTATTTAGTATAGAAGAGTCGCGCAGCTTGAGATGTATGCATGACTGCACTTCTCTACGTCTGTACACAATGTTATCATATAAATAAGCTATGGAGGCTTCACATCACCCGATAAAGATCTGCACCAAGTGGCCCGAATACCATACCAGAATTACACTTGTTTTCTTCTTTGTTTTCTTTGGAGGATAGAGCGAGGAGGGGGAGAAAGCAGATGCAGAGAAAAACATAGAGATAGCGATAGAGAGAGAGAGAGAGAGAGAGAGAGAGAGAGAGAGAGAGAGAGAGAGAGAGAGAGAGAGAGAGAGAGAGAGGGGGGGGGGGGGGAGAAGGATGGAAAAGAGGATAGGAAGCAGAATAGAAAAGTAAGAAGAATAACAGAAGAGGAGAAGACCCTTCAGCCCCCAACTCAGTATTGACCCACAGACAAATGAGCCTAAGTAGTCCTATTCTATGCTCACCTCATGTCTTTCTTACATATTTTTATATTGTTGTTGTTGTTATCGATCCAGCGGCGCATGAGCTTTCGCCCTTTGGCCCAATGCCATGTAGTGGAATTTGCATGTTTTCACAAGCTGTTCTTTTCCTCCGTACAAGGTGTTCCACTTGTCTGGTCTCGGAGGGAGTAGCGTTCTTCTTGTCTCACTGAGTTTTGGGCACTCAAAGAGATGGTGTTCAACAGTTTCGTAGGGGTAGTTACATAGCTGGCACTCTGGGGAGTGTTGTGGCTGTATTCTGTTTAGGTGTCCATTGAGTGGAGTATGTTGCGTTCTAAGTCTGAAGATGGTGGCCTGGTCCCTTCTTGTTAGATGGTTAATGCTGTCATTAGGATCAGGGCCAGACATATGTCTATAAACCTCTCTTCCAGTGTCTCCCATGGCCCATCTGTTCAACCAAGTCTCTTTGTTTATAGCTCTTATCAGTGTTTTTGCTGTCTGGAGGGTTGTCGCTGTAGGTGGTTGTTCTTGTGTTGCTCCTTTCTTTGCCAATCTGTCAGCTCTGTCATTACCTGGTGTGCCGGAGTGACCTGGAATCCACTGCATCACTATTCTGATGTTGTATGAGGTAATAAGCTGATCGGCATCCAGGATTATCTTGGCTATGTCAGTTCTGCAGCGTTCATTGCCCTCCAGAGCTTGAAGGGCAGACATTGAATCTGTGAAGATGACAATATTTTGGACCTTTGAGGGGTAAACATCCATTACAGTCTTTAGGTGGTATACTGCTGTTTCCAGTGCAATTATTTCAGCTTCATAGTTTGAACAGAATTCCCCGCATGCATCAAAAATCTCTTCAACAGATCCATCGGGATAACCTATGTAGATTCCGTAACCTGCTTTAATGGTAGCTTTAAATGCTGATCCATCAGTATAGACATGTATCCATTCTTGGGGGTAAGAATCAACGGTCTTTAGTGATGAGTTCATAAGAGCGATTGGGTCGGACTGTTTGGTTTCCTCGCCTACCAATTTAGTTTGGACTTCTGGAGCTTTAAAGCGAGCATGTGGTGGTAGGTTTTTTGCAACATTCTGAATTCCTTGACGTCTTTCTGGGAGGTGGTATCTGTCCTGAATTTCATTAACACAGTGTAAAACCGATTTGTGCTTTATTCTTTGTTTGGACTCCCAGTTTTCTACAAGATGTCTATTAGGATGGTTACGATTTTTCCTAACGCATCTTTCATAAATTTCTAAAGTGGCTTTTTCTCTCCGCAACCCGAGGGGTTCCACATTTGTATGGATTTCACATGCAGCAGTTGGTGTAGACTGCATAGCTCCGCAGATTAATCGGAGGGCATTATTTTGTACTCTGTCAAGAGTCTCTAGGTTAGTTTTGGAACAAGTTGTAAGCAGTGAGTTGTTGTACTCTATCACAGAGCGAACATATCCTAGGTATAAGCCCCTCAGAGTTTCCTTGTCTGATCCCCATGATGTACCTGCAAGTCTCTTTAATAACTGTAACCGCCTCAATGCCTTATTCCTGATGTTTTCAATATGGTTCTTGAGGCTGAGCTGCGGGTCAAGTGTGACTCCAAGGTATATGGGATGCTCTTCTTTCATCACTTGGTGTTTGTCTAACCTCAGGTTAATATTCTTCCTTGCTACTTGGTGGCTTTTGGTAAAGATTGTGTAGACCGTCTTTGCACAGTTAATCTTGAGTTTCCATCTTTGGCAGTAATCATGCAGTCTTCTAAGGTCTCCATTCAGTCTTTGGGCTCCACTTTCCACATTTTCATGACTCTGCCATATTGCTAGGTCATCAGCGTACAAGGCTTTTTCGGCCTTGATTTGTTCTGGCAGGTCATTGATAAAGATTAGGAATAGTGTACAGCTCAATGATGAGCCTTGTGGCAAGCCCTCCTCCAAGACTTCTTTAGAAGAGATTGCGTTGTGCATCTTAGTCTGGATTGTTCTATCTATCAGGAAGTATTTCACCCAGTTATACAATCTGCCATGTATTCCTATGCTCATCATCTTCATCAGGAGACCTTTTCTCCATACTCTGTCATAGGCCTGCTGGAGGTCGACAAAGACTGCCACTGTGTGTTTCTTATTCTGGAAGCCATCATGTATTCTTTGTGTCAGTCTGAACAGCTGGTCTTCTGTGCAGCTGTTGGTTCTGAAGCCTGCCTGTTCATGGCATAGAACACCAGAACTCTCAAGGAACCAATATAAGCGCCTGTTTATCATTCTTTCTGCAACTTTGCCCAAGCATGATGTTAAGGATATCGGGCGGTAGCTTTTGGGGTCATCTGGAGGCTTTTTGGTTTTAAGGATGGGGACGATATATGCATTCCTCCATGCCCTTGGAAGTTTGCTTGACCTCCAAGTTTTATTAATAAGCCTGAGAACTACTTCTCTCCCAGACCGGCCAAGATGTAGCAGCATTTCGTTGTGGATCTTATCTGGGCCTGGAGATTTTCTAGGTTTTAATTTCTTCAGGGCTTGCTCTAATTCATCCATGCTAAATTCATTTTCAAAAAGGGAGTCGCTGGCTGTTGGAGCTCTCTCTTGTTTCTTCAACTGAGAGAGCTGTGTTCTATCGAGTTCTGACAGCTTACCTGCTCTGTTAACCGAGGCAAAATAATGATTGAAATGTTCTGCTTTCTTCTTGTCTTCAGTGATTGTCTTACTCCCATCTGTCACTGGTTTTGGGTTCACCCTTCTACTTTCTCCGGAGAGGTTTTTAACTAAAGTCCATGCTTTATTTCCATTCTGTCTAAGGTCTAAGTTGGAGCAAGTTTCTGTCCATTTATCTCTTTTATATATTACAAGTCTGGGCTGTGATCAAGGGACCGAAGGTTTGTTTGCTCAAAAGACTGACGGTTTGTTGCTCAAAAGACTGAAGGTTTGTTTGCTCAAAAGACCAAAGGTTTGTTTGCTCAAGAGACTGAAGGTTTGTCTGGTCGAGAGACCGAAGGTTTCTTTGCTCAAGAGACTGAAGGTTTGTTTGCTCAAGAGACTGAAGGTTTGTCAGGTCAAGAGACTGAAGGTTTCTTTGCTCAAGAGACCGAAGGTTTGTTTGCTCAAGAGGCGGAAGGTTTGTTTGCTCAAGGGACGAAAGGTTTGTTTGCTCAAGGGGCGGAAGGTTTGTTTGCTCAAGGGGCGGAAGGTTTGTTTGCTCAAGAGACTGAAGGTTTGTTTGCTCAAGAGGCGAAAGGTTTGTTTGCTCAAGGGGTGAAAAGTTTGTTTGCTCAAGAGACTGAAGGTTTGTTAGCTCAAGTTGCGGAAGGTTTGTTTGCTCAAGGGGTGGAAGGTTTGTTTGCTCAAGGGGCGAAAGGTTTGTTTGCTCAAGGGGCGGAAGGTTTGTTTGCTCAAGGGGCGGAAGGTTTGTTTGCTCAAGAGACTGAAGGTTTGTTTGCTCGAGGGGCAGAAGGTTTGTTTGCTCAAGGGGCGGAAGGTTTGTTTGCTCAAGGGGTGGAAGGTTTGTTTGCTCAAGGGGTGGAAGGTTTGTTTGCTCAAGAGGCGGAAGGTTTGTTTGCTTAAGAAGCGGAAGGTTTGATTGCTCAAGGGGCCAAAGGTTTGTTTGCTCAAGAGACGGAAGGTTTGTTTGCTCAAGAGACTGAAAATTTGTTGGGTCAAGAGACTGAAGGTTTGTTTGCTCAAGAGACTGAAGGTTTGTTTGCTCAAGAGACGGAAGGTTTGTTTGCTCAAGAGACTGAAGGTTTGTTTGGTCAAGAGACTGAAGGTTTGTCAGGTCAAGAGACTAAAGGTCTGTTTGCCCAAGAGACTGAAGGTTTGTTTGGTCAAGAGACTGAAAGTTTGTTTGGTCAAGAGACTGAAGGTTTGTTTGGTCAAAAGACTGAAGGTTTGTTTACCCAAGATACTGAAGGTTTGTTTTGCTCAAGAGACTGAAAGTTTGTTTTGCTCAAGAGACTGAAAGTTTGTCTGGTCAAGAGACTGAAAGTTTGTTTGGTCAAGAGACTGAAGGTTTGTTTTGCTCAAGAGACTGAAAGTTTGTCTGGTCAAGAGACTGAAGGTTTGTTTGTTTAGGAGATGCAATATTTATCTGCAAAACTGTAAAATGCATGGGCACGGAATACTCAAGTCTAAAAAAAGTCCCAAGTCCAGAAGTGGATGAACAACCATAAATTGAACTCTGAGAAAAAGAATATCAAATATATTTAGATTAGGTCAAAGTATACCGTCAAAATTTGGCTTTCTTTATGACTTTCAAAATATCTTGATTACTTTTTTTGGCTCTCCAATGAATATTAAACATTCTGCGGTAAAAGCCATTCATGCTGACCCGCACAGGACTGTCGGTTAGGCCTATACTGGGCTGGTACGACTGATACTGATGCCCTAATTATAACTGCTTTTGGAGGTTGAACAGGGTATTTGGATTTGCCCTGTTGGCCTGCCATCCAGATTGAGATGTTTCCTCATGTTGCCAGACATCAAAGAAGGACCATCTGTGAGGCTAGAAGGTACTTTTTACCTTGCTGATTTATTGTCCAGATTTCACAGCTTTGTGTTTAAAATGATTCACGTAGCATAAACATATTCTTGATCTAAATCCCAAATGACAAGGATTCTTGGCATGATCTTTACTTTCCTTTCTATCCCGTATGCGTTCCCTTTGGGAAAGAGTATGGGGGAGCGGGAAGGTCAGGGACCCACTGCCCGATAACAGCATGTCGTAAAAGGCCACTAAGTAAATGTATTTCCCTCGAAGTTGAAAAATAAAATTGTGGCTCTTGCAATAGAATGCCCCACGAATATAGAAGGTGGCATTAGGAAATATATGCATTGTTAAGACGCGCCTGCAGTACTAAAATTCCAAAGCATTTTAAATAAAATGAGACGTACACGATCTGGCCGGTCAGATAGACAGGGAAGACTAAAAATACTAGCACCAAACACTAAACAATTAAATATCATCATAATGTGTTGCATAATTATAACCGACATTGAGATTGACTGGGACAAGACTAGCTCCCAGTCATAGGTTTGTTAATTTGTTTATCCAAAGGATCATTATCTTGGCACACGGGTGTAACCAATAAGTGCTCTGTTCTTCTTCTAACTCAGGCCTGAGCTCGAAGAATCTCAGCGCAGTGCACGAACTCTGTTGCACTGGAGTTAACAGTCAGAGCAGAGGTTTAAAGTGGTTAATTCAAATCGAACGAACGAACAAACGAAAAAAAAAAACCCGAAACAATTGTAAAACTGAACTCTGACAGACGATGACATGTTACATGAGAGTAGCGGTTCCTGACTCCCTACAAGAAATGGTCTGGTCTATTGTGTATATTTGATTGAACCAGATGGGAGGTTCTGAAAAACAAAAGATCAAATCACAAAACATGATTTATTCTGTAAATTTTCTAAACATTTAAACATATATTAATCATGCTTTTCCAGTGTCTTTCTTCATCGACATGTTTACAAGCAAAACAGAAGACTTTGCATTTTGCAGCCGGTTGGGTCACAAGAACGAATGGAATCAGAGTCAGACCATTCGCTCTTGACAAGATAGCAACAAGGTCAGTCTTTTGACTCAAGTAAGATCACATTTTACAATTAATGCAGTCTTACTAGTTCATTTCAGATTTGTGGATTGGGGAGCTCTATTTTGGACACACTACTCCCTAACTACAACTATGCCGTAGATGGCGATTATATAATAAATAATTTATTAAATTTTATAAAATAGAGGTGTTTCCTTGTGTGCAGATCAATACATTTTCTGTTACTTGATTAATTCAAAATCTGAGCGCACCAGAGGAACCACCTGCTGCATACAAATAAGCCAGATCTGTGAAGCAGATGTGAACACAAAAAACTCCGGTTTTGAATCAGAGGCCACAGTCCAGGAGTTGATGAACAACCAGAACTTTCACCACAGGTTTGCTTCTTTCAGATTGGCAAGTATCACTTCAGAGGTCTCGGGCAGTTAGTATTGAATATTAGTATTATTCTTTGGATATTCTCTCTCGCCTGGTAGTTTCAGTTTCATGTCAAACGGGTCCCCCCATCTTTGCTCCGCTCCTGTGCCAACGAAAAACGAATGTTTATCACAGTCCCTTGTGGAAAGATTGACAGACTGCTGTCTCAGCATATCTAGCATACACTCGCATTAAAGCATATGGTAGTCATCCAAAGTGCTAACACAAACAGTCCGACATTAGAAATGCAGTTCATCATTGATGGTAGCAGAAGTCACCAACAGATCAGCAGTTGCCCACGCGATCAATTTCAATCACGGGCACCACTAATATTGCGACAACAGGCATCGCACCATTTTCTGAATCTAAAATTCACATCACCGCGTTGGTCACAGTCGAAACAACATTCCAAATGAAATCTGCAGCTTAGTGTCACACCATTGCATTCATCTCAGAAGCTGGGCGACGAAACTATATCCAGTCTACAAATGGAGCAAAAATGCATGGCCACCATCCGGTAGAAGCAAAAATTTGCCTTGGCTCCAAACACTGCCCCTGCCTAGCGTCCATTTTGACCGGAAGTTTTCAATGCCGGTGTGTTGGGATATAATCAGGCGCATAGACTCGCGGGAACTGCACCACTTGGTGGTAAATTGATGTATGACAAGCGAGACTTTGTGTGGGCCCTTTGGGAGGGAGTGAACAGTGTGGAATTGCAAATAGATCATTACGGTCTGAGGAGAATGTCGCTGCAAGGAGTTATCAGGAGCCAGTGATTGACACTCAAGGAAAAGGCGAGACAGATATACAGTCAGACAGTTACTGGTGCCATCGGAATTAGAACTCTTCGTTTGCTGCTGTCGATGGGAAAGGGGCACTTATGAGGGTGTCCCGAGTACCATGATGTTGATTCTTAATTCAAGATTCAACATTCAATCAGAAGTTTCACTGGAGTTTAGAGAACAGCCGGTGACCTTTTATGATCTCTTTGTTTTGTTTGCCTCTGGTTATATTTTTAATATAATCATAGATATTTGCTGGCAGTACACAGTGGTTTGCAGTATCAGTACCATTTCTTGTAAAACACTTTGTGGTCAGTACCTTAGTTTAGACATTTTATAATGAGAACCAGCACTTGTTTAAAAAAAAATAAGAATAAAAGCCAGAGTATAATATATAGTGTGTTTAGTAATTATCTGCTGAGCTGCTTGATATATAGAATCTGAAAAATAATCATGTAAAATAATCAAGTAAAAGTCATAGTGTAAAAAATGACTGTGTAAAAATAATGTTGTAATAATGGTCAGTATGTTTTTTTAATTGTCAGGCAACAGTTCAAGAAGAACCACACATGGAGTCTGCCAAGAAGTGAGCCACAGTGCTGGTTTAGATCACGTAATCTAAGGGAAGTGGTGAGACAGTTGAGCAGACTTGCTCACAGAGACAGCCAAGTGTGTGCTTCTAAATTAAATCAATGGCTGACCTCCAAGGCTCACCATTTAACATTTTCTTTGCCTTTTGTGCCTGGATTTGTACTAGGCTCCAGTGGAACCTACCTTTTGTGGAAAAACACAGGTGGCCTGTTTGTTACTGCTCAGTGTAAAGCCAAGCATGGCCACAGGAATCGCTTGTCACACCAAGATGATGATGATGAAGATTCTGACAAGAAGTCCTCTCATCCAGACTTTCAGTGGGATTTGTTTCTGCAGCTTTTATGGGCAGATATTTTCTATCTGCTGGGTGCTGTGCTGGTATGTAGTTTATATTTGTTCCTCTTTTTTTCTACCGAATTTTTGTCTTCTATGTGCAACTGATAATTTAAATTTTGGATGTAATTGACTTATGCATATTTTCAGCAGAACTGTGGAATTTTATTTTTTCAGGACAACACATTTTTCCAAGCATTTGTTGTTGTTGTTGACATGATTAATCTTTGTAGAGGCGCCTGTCCAAACCTCAAGAGTCTGCTGTTCCTGTCTATTAAAATTTTGTATTTCCATTTCTATTTATCTTTGTTAACCCCCTCTCCATTATGCTCTGTTGCCATCTCTTCATTAACTTAATGTTTTTTTCTGTTTATATTAATGATATTTCTGTTTAGCATCTTCTGATAGAGCATAGATATTCAGCCAACAATAAACCAGTTGATTCTTGAAGGATGATTTGGTCGGCATGATGCTGGTGACTGTTACTTCCCAGGGCATTTCCTTTTTTTCCAGGAAGGTTACTTTGACGTAGGAGCCCTAGGTCTATTAGGTCCTAGGATTTGAAACCAAGATCTTTAGGCTTGTCAGGCAGTGTCTGTCTACCTACTCTAACTGTGCTGCTGACAAATTTTGCAAGTATAGGATATATTATGTGATCTTTGGGATCCACAGAAAAGAGTTATCGTGCAGCGTAAGAATTACTTTAGGCTAAAAGAGTTAGGAACTGCATGTATCTTAGTCATCTAAAACTGTTCTTAGGCTCTACCATCATCATCATCCTGTTATGCCATTATACAACACATGAACTCACAGTTTTGTCCTCTGTTCTGTTCATCATATGTATGCAGACTGTTGGTTCCTCGCCTCTCAGACAGATGCAATCCAAGGAATCTTCCCTAATTAGTTGCTTTGTATAACATGCTTGTTAGGGAGCCAGTGGGTCTATTCCCCCCCCCCCCCCCCCCCCCCCCCCCCACCACCACCACACACAAAAAATGAGGCCCAAGCCCCCACACTGGGAATTTGGATTTAGGAAACTTATATGCTTGATATATAAAACACAGTTGCCAGTTGAATGTGGGCTCACATGCCCAGTTTTTGACCCTTTGGAAATAAAGTTTGTTCATTCATTTTCTCCTGGACAATCTTCTTGATATCATGGATGGAATCCAGACCATCACCTTTGGCCTCTCTCAACGTGTTCCAGGACTGCAACACGGGTGAAAGAGAATATTTGTTGTCTCTTAACAGAGAAATAATTGTTCTGTCCATCCACAGGTTTACTGAATAAACAGATGGGAAACTCTTGAAACCATTAAAAAAAAAAATAATTATATATATATATATGTAATATTTTAAAAATATATCATCGTCATCATCATGATGTGGCAGGTCCTTTGCAGAACATCGCTCTCATCACAGTCTACCTGAAAGAAACCTGGCCTCTTGCCAGTTCTCCCGCCTCTTGTACTTTCATAATCAAGAGTCACTTATATCCTGTACCCATCTTCGTGTCGGTCGGCCCCTGCCCCTTCATCCTGGTACCATGCCTTCTGCTATTTGTTTTTTCCAATCCATCGTGGCGCAAAATATTTCAGCTTCTAAGACACGATGCTGTTTATTAGCCAAATCTTCCTTGATGTTCAGATCTTTCAAGATATATATATATATATATATATATATATATATATATATATATATATATATATATATATATATATATATATATATATATATATATATATATATATATATATATATATATATATATATATATATATATATATATATATATATATATATATACATACACAATGAACAAACATACATATATTGATTGGCACTCATAGAAATAATTATGGACACACTGACAATATAAAAATCAAAAGCTGTGCTGTGCAGACCAGGAATTTAACCTGTTATCTCGAAATGACATCAGCGCCTCTCCGGGGAAATAAATGTGCTAAGACATGACCAACCCCTCCTCCCCTCTCCCCCACCCCACCCTCTAAAAAAAAGATGTCTTCATTAGCGATTTCAGTGATTTCAGTTGTATAGCTTGAATCCACACACAAACTATGGAATACTGTCAGTCATCTCAAACAACTGAAAAGGCACTACAGGTTACAGCTGAGTATACTGTTTCTGCAGACTGCTATGGGAGCCGCCATGGTTAACATTCAGATCCCGTTGATGCTGGGGGAGGTGACAAACATCGTCACCAAGTTTGCAGCAGAGACTACATCAGATGTGGCTCAGTTCCTAGCAGAGATCAAACTACCTGCTGTCAAACTGCTGTGCATCTACTGTCTTCAGGTAAGTGATATGGCTGCCAGTTACTGCTTGTGTTTACCACTTGTGTGGTGTAGGCAGGGGGGCTTTGAGTCTAAGAATTTAGGGCCACATGGCTAGTGCTGTAGCCACGGACTGTGCAGGTCAGGATTTTATTTATTTAGTGATGTGACTAAACTAATAAAGTGCTGGACATGTATTAGTTTCAAATAGATGGTGTAATGATATGGACTCAGGTAACAAGCAAACTGTAGATTATGCTTTGGAGAACTATCCTCTGTACAATTCACAAGAAAGGATGTATTGCCTCACTGGTTTAGCATTAAATTCCAATCTTAATTTAATAAGGGATTTAACATACAATGGTCACGTACACTGAAAGACTCCCCATGAATGTGTAATCATCAAAGATGTTGCAAGAATAAAAGAAAAAAAATAAAATATAGTGATTGGGTAGCCCAGCTAATAAAGATACACCTTAATGTACATTGTTTTTAATGCCTGCAAGTTGTTGCAAGGCATTTTTTGCCTCCATTTTGTCTGATGATATTCTTAACTCAAGATTTAGGGTATTGTCTTTATCATAGAAGATACCTGAAAGTATTCCATTGCTGAACTCTTTTGATACCAGAGGACAGTTACATTTATTATAGATCAGTCTGTAATATGTTCCTTTTTTGTTGAAAGAGTAGAATTTGTTTATTTAACCCTTTCACTTTAAGAAGAGTTGAATTTGTTTATTTAACCCTTTCATTTTAAGAAGAGTTGAATTTGTTTATTTAACCCTTTCACTTTAAGAAGAGTTGAATTTGTTTATTTAACCCTTTCACCTAAGAAGAGTTGAATTTGTTTATTTAACCCTTTCACTTAAAGAATAGTTGAATTTGTTTATTTAACCCTTTCACTTTAAGAAGAGTTGAATTTGTTTATTTAACCCTTTCACCTAAGAAGAGTTGAATTTATTTATTTAACCCTTTCACTTAAGAAGAGTTGAATTTGTTTATTTAACCCTTTCACTTTAAGAAGAGTTGAATTTGTTTATTTAACCCTTTCACCTAAGAAGAGTTGAATTTGTTTATTTAACCCTTTCACTTTAAGAAGAGTTGAATTTGTTTATTTAACCCTTTCACTTTAAGAAGAGTTGAATTTGTTTATTTAACCCTTTCACTTTAAGAAGAGTTGAATTTGTTTATTTAACCCTTTCACCTAAGAAGAGTTGAATTTGTTTATTTAACCCTTTCACTTTAAGAAGAGTTGAATTTGTTTATTTAAACCTTTCACTTTAAGAAGAGTTGAATTTGTTTATTTAACCCTTTCACTTTAAGAAGAGTTGAATTTGTTTATTTAACCCTTTCACTTTAAGAAGAGTTGAATTTGTTTATTTAACCCTTTCACTTTAAGAAGAGTTGAATTTGTTTATTTAACCCTTTCACCTAAGAAGAGTTGAATTTGTTTATTTAACCCTTTCACTTTAAGAAGAGTTGAATTTGTTTATTTAACCCTTTCACTTTAAGAAGAGTTGAATTTGTTTATTTAACCCTTTCACCTAAGAAGAGTTGAATTTGTTTATTTAATCCTTTCACCTAAGGAGAGTTGAATTTGTTTATTTAACCCTTTCACTTTAAGAAGAGTTGAATTTGTTTATTTAACCCTTTCACTTTAAGAAGAGTTGAATTTGTTTATTTAACCCTTTCACCTAAGAAGAGTTGAATTTGTTTATTTAACCCTTTCACTTTAAGAAGAGTTGAATTTGTTTATTTAACCCTTTCACTTTTAGAAGAGTTGAATTTGTTTATTTAACCCTTTCACTTTAAGAAGAGTTGAATTTGTTTATTTAACCCTTTCACTTTAAGAAGAGTTGAATTTGTTTATTTAACCCTTTCACTTTAAGAAGAGTTGAATTTGTTTATTTAACCCTTTCACCTAAGAAGAGTTGAATTTGTTTATTTAACCCTTTCACTTTAAGAAGAGTTGAATTTGTTTATTTAACCCTTTCACTTTAAGAAGAGTTGAATTTGTTTATTTAACCCTTTCACCTAAGAAGAGTTGAATTTGTTTATTTAACCCTTTCACTTTAAGAAGAGTTGAATTTGTTTATTTAACCCTGTCACTTTAAGAAGAGTTGAATTTGTTTTTTTAACCCTTTCACTTTAAGAAGAGTTGAATTTGTTTATTTAACCCTTTCACCTAAGAAGAGTAGAATTTGTTTATTTAACCCTTTCACTTTAAGAAGAGTTGAATTTGTTTATTTAACCCTTTCACTTTAAGAAGAGTAGAATTTGTTTATTTAACCCTTTCACTTTAAGAAGAGTTGAATTTGTTCATTTAACCCTTTCACTTTAAGAAGCCACTTTACTGATGTTGCTATATTAGCATGTTCATGAGAAGCCTGGTTGATAGCATTGGTTCCATTTTCATCTGAACAAACATTTAGGATGACCAGAAATCATCATTTTTGTTAAACATAGATTTAGCTGGGGTTTTCTTGTTGACAAAAAATTGGCTTTTTGAAAATAGGAATTATGGCATCATAACTTCTCATTAGTCACAGTGCTAACTTAGCCACTGGGTCACGAGATCAGTGATGAATTGTGATATAATTTTTTTAAGGCTCATAGAGAAATAACCTCTGCTGCATACCGATATGCCTCTTCTTATTCTGCATGTAATTTAATATTTGTTTGCTCCTTAAATGGTATTGTTAGGATTTTTGTTTTGTGACCTGTGTAAAATGGTTGCTTTTCTAAATGATTATTTTTTCCAGTAATTTCCAGACAGGTCTTTGGCTTTGTTTATTCTAAGTTACTAGGGCAAAATGGTTAAAATTAGAATTTAAAAGATGTTACTTGTGAAAATTATAAATTAAAAGAAAAAGATGTTATTACTTGAATGTTTTTATTTATATTTTAAAATACAAATTTTGTTTATGGGGAAAAGCATTCAGTTCTATTTAATTTGAGGCACTTATCCTGGTAATTAGTCATTCATTGCTGTTGTCAAGTACATGAATCTCAGGGGGCTGTGGTTCCCAGCATGCCAAGCTTTTTGTAGACTTATTTCTGGTTGGTTGGATTTTGCCTTAAGTGTTTTATGGGAGGAAGTAGCCAGTCTGAGCCAACCCCCCTGAGTCATCTCCTGTGACATGCATACCATGTATTTCTGAAATTCAGAACCACCCCAAATTTAAGTCCTAGCATGATTTTTCAGGAAACTTTTAATGTAAGCCCTACCTTAAAAGTAATCCCTCGTTAAGATCCTCAGCTAGAATGAGAGACATTGCTGATGGCCAGTCAGAGTACAGATGCCACTGATGCGCACTTGATAATGAACAGATGTGGTTCACAATTCAAGGGCCATTTGTGCATAAAATCAATGACTGTACTAAAAACAGAATGGAGAGAAAACAGTGTGGAAACTTTGTGAAGTCTAGTCCGCAGGCGGTCGTAACTTGGGTGTAGAATTCATGGGGTAAAATCACTGACAGCTGTATTACCAGTGTACTGCGAGCAGGCTACATGGACACGAAATGCTCATTTAAGGGAAACATTATTGCTGGACATGAGAGACTGGGGCCTGTGGTTCTACAGAAACTTCAGGCCAGAGTTCTGGATTTGGAGAGTTATGACAATGTTTCGGGGGAAGATGGCGTGACTTGAACAAATGTAGAATTTTGAACTTGAATAAATGTAGATTTGTGTATCTAAAAACATCCCCCTTAAAGTAAGCCATAGTGCATTTTTAAAGCAAAAATTAATATAAGACCTGGACTTATTGTCGGCAAAACAAGGTAGTAAGGTACAGCACCTAATATTCTTTGCTTGCCCTGTGGACTGCACTCACACCCAGCCATGATTATGATAGGTAAAATAAGCCTGGCTTATAGATCATGCTGTGAAGCCAAGACATTTGGCTTTTTTATCTCGACACAGTGTCAACACCAGCAGTTCTTTTTAATCATTATCTGGAGGGGTCTCAGTGGCGAAATGGGCAAGTTAAGTTGTTTGCCCTGAGATCTGAAGGTCGCAAGTTCATTTCGTGGACATGTCATTCAGTTCTAAGTGCAGTTTTTACGGAGCTCTCTGGAGATCATTACTGGAGCTGCATGGTTTCAGCTTTGTGCAGGGGGTTAACCATTCTGTGGAGAGCTGAGAGAGGCATAATCCCCCCCCCCCCCCCCCCCCCCCCCTTTCATCCTCCAGATTAAGTCAAGGGAGTAATCAATGAACACAAACCAGATAATGCATTAAATGAAGTACAATCCCTCCCGGGGGTCTGCACACAAAAAAAACATTGGTGTCAAGTGACTCTTGGGGGTTGCGGGAAAATTTGACCCATCTTGCCATTAAAAAAGCAACTGGGTTAAACCCCCCCCCCCCTTCCTCCCCTCAGACTCTTTGAAAAAATAAAAAAAAAATTACACAGCTTATAGCATAAACTATACATCTCATAGACAGGTCACTATAGACAAGTCTGAACAGTTAAATTTGCGGGGAAATGGGCTGAGTCAGAAGTTTCAGTTTTTGCTGCTTCTCTAGTCAAAATGGGTTTATTTCAGCTTCAACATTATTCATATTGTTTAATTAATCCTTTACTTCTAGTACATGATAAACCATCCAGGAAATAACAGCTGTTGGTATAGAGTTTTTCACTTGATGTAATTGTAGTTGCTGTCTTTTTCATCAGGGCTTACTAACTTTCAGCTACATCAGCTTGCTGTCTGTTGTCGGAGAAAACTTGGCAGCTCGAATGAGGAAGCGACTGTTTAATTCACTGCTACAGCAAGAAATTGCATTCTTTGACACCCACAAGACAGGAGAGCTTGTCGATAGGTGGGTCTTGCCATTCTGTTTATGTACTCCTGAGATCTGTTTTGGCACATTTTTCTTCTTCTCTCTTTATTACATTCGCCGGCTGTAAACTCTTGCAGAAAGTTCTGGTTGTTCTTCCCCTTCTGGAGTTTGGTCTTGTTCCAGAACTTGAGTTTTGTGTGCACATCCGTTTTACAGATCTAGCTTATTTGTGTGCAGACTATTGGTTTCTTGCCTCTCAAGCAGATGTACTCAGACTTCAAAGAAAACATTCCTAATTAGTGGACTCTTGTGACATGCTTGTTTGGGCAGCAGTCAGTCTACTTTGATTTCCCCAGAATGAGGCCCCTAAACCAACATGGGGATATTAAAAAGCATGTTGTGTGTTGAAAGACCTACTGTAAACATGAAAGGTAAACCCGCAGTAGACAAATCATCACAGCAGTGTAGTATACCCGTTACAGAACATTGCTCCTGTCGCTGCCCTTTTTTTTTTGGCCAGTGTTTTTTCCGGTGGCCACAGATGAGTCCGATATTGTACTGGCTAGACAGAAATATTGAAGGTACCTCAGTCAAGTAATTGTGTGTGTTCTGGTTCATAATTTGTTTTATAGATTTATGTAATGTGCTGATGAAGGCTGTCAACCCGCAACTTACCCTTATCTAGCCACAACTTTTCTTTTTCTAGCCACAAATTTTCCTGGTTCTTTCGTAATATTCGACTCCAGATGATATCGCAGAACAGTCCAACATTTTAGAGAGTGGTAAGACCGGGTTTCCGGCTTTCTGATGCTTTTAATGACCCCAAAACATCTAGAACTGGCCCAACCCCAACCCACCTACATCCCACGAGAGAGTGCAGCCTATGTCCCACGACTGCATGCAACCTATCTACCACCCCCTGAAATATTAGACTGTCCCGTGACCTGTGGATTTCCCCTGTTTGGGGTAGGATATTTAGAAAGCACCCTTTCCCTTGTTTAACCACAGCTTTCCATTGTCTAGCCACAACTTTCCCTTGTCTAGCCACAACTTTCCCTTTTCTAGCCACAACTTTACCTTGTCTAGATACAACTTTCCTTTGTCTAGCCGCAGCTTTCCCTTGTCTAGATACAACTTTCCTTTGTCTAGCTACAACTTTCCTTTGTCTAGCTACAACTTTTCCTTTTCTAGCCACAACTTTCCCTTGTCTAGCTACAACTTTGCTTTGTCTAGATACAACTTTCCTTTGTCTAGCCACAACTTTCCCTTGTCATTTGTGTTTGCGATATTGTAAAGCTGACTTGTTGTACTTTTCAATTGTTTTGATATATTGCCATGATACTGAATCTACTTGTAGGAATCTTGTGATGATCAGAAGTCTCCTGTTGTGTTCACCCTTCTGTGGAATACTTTCTACACTATCCTCTACCAGTTACCCGCCTCACTTATTTTTGTTAAGATTTCATAAGGATGCATTGTTCGGTTCACAAATGCAGTTTTTACGAAGACCCCAGGGGATCATTGCCGATGTCAGCAAGCCGCTAGCTGTTCTACTGTAAAATCCTGTGCAATGAAGTCTATCCTTTCAACTTTGACCTTCAACATTTTTTCATTCCGGAGGCATTTCTGATATTTGACTAATTAATGGCTTATGCCATGTATGTCATGTGTCAAAATGTGTAAGGCCTAGGTGAAAGTGTATTCAGGGCCTGAACGGTTAATGCCTAAACAACTCTCTTCCAAGACAGATCTTTTATAACCTTAACTGTCTTCTTCATGTGTCTTGACTTAAACATAATTATCAGTTCGAAGAAATATTGCATGGTAATTGCTGTTTTTAGAAATATACAAGATAGAGATAGAATATTTCAGGTTAGCTATATCTGTGAATTTCAGACTAACCTCGGATGTTCAGGACTTCAAGAGTTCTTTCAAAATCACCATTTCACAAGGTTTAAGAGCATCCACTCAGGTAAGAGAGGTGGAATCTTCGACCTGTTAAGTTAACTGTGATACAGTGTACAGTTTCAGGAAAATGAGCGACCTCTTGGAACGTGGATACAGGATATTGAAGTTGAATTGGCTATGAAAGCACACAGGGCTGGAGAATTATCTAGAGAAAGAGAGACTTTCAGGTGTGCCATGAAGAGAGTGACGTTCTGTAAAGGAAATACTAATTGATTGATTGACTGATTGGTTAGCTAACTGTATATTCTCAAAACACATACTCACCTTTTGCACAGGGCTCATGCATGTACTACATAAGATGTTCACAGAGTATACTAGTCATGGATATGCACATTAGTCTTTCCTGTAAAAAAAAATCTTTTGAGCGTGGCAGTTTTTTCTTTATCTCAGTTTTATATCTTCTGTCTAATGTCACTTATCTTCATTTCTAGATAGTCATAATACCTTGTTTGATTTTTGTGTTTTTACTATATATAAAAGTCGGCTTAGGATTGTGAACGTGCAGCAGTTTGGCAGCAGGCCGTCTTACGTTGGTTTCCAGAGGAGTTTCAAGAGCCAACCATTTAGAAAGCAGTGGCAAACTACTGAGCCTAAATTTGCCTAGAAATCCACAACAGTAAAAAAAATGCTGGTGTTGATTCTGCAATGTCCTATAAAAGGATATGAAACTAACTAACTAAATATAAAGCATATTGGAGTTTATGCTTTCTTAGAAACTACTATGCACTGTGCTTTCTTGGAAACTACCATGTACTGTGCTTTCTTGGAAACTACCATGTACTGTGCTTTCTTGGAAACTACCATGTACTGTGCTTTCTTGGAAACTACCATGTACTGGGCTTTTTTGGAAACTACTATGCACTGTGTTTTCTAGGAAACTACCATGCACTGTGCTTTCTTGGAAACTATACACTGTGATTTCTTGGAAACTACTATGCACTGTGCTTTCTTAGAAACTACTATGCACTGTGCTTTCTTGGAAACTACCATGCACTGTGCTTTCTTGGAAACCACCATGCACTGTGCTTTCTTGGGAACTACCATGCACTGTGCTTTCTTAGAAACTACTATGCACTGTGCTTTCTTGGAAACTACTATGCACTGTGCTTTCTTGGAAACTACTATGCACTGTGCTTTCTTGGAAACTACTATGCACTGTGCTTTCTTGGAAACTACCATGCACTGTGCTTTCTTGGAAACTACTATGCACTGTGCTTTCTTAGAAACTACTATGCACTGTGCTTTCTTGGGAACTACTATGCACTGTGCTTTCTTAGAAACTACTATACACTGTGATTTCTTGGGAACTACTATGCACTGTGCTTTCTTGGAAACTACCATGCACTGTGCTTTCTTGGAAACTACTATGCACTGTGCTTTCTTAGAAACTACTATGCACTGTGCTTTCTTGGGAACTACCATGCACTGTGCTTTCTTAGAAACTACTATACACTGTGATTTCTTGGAAACTACTATGCACTGTGCTTTCTTGGAAACTACCATGCACTGTGCTTTCTTGGAAACTACTATGCACTGTGCTTTCTTAGAAACTACCATGCACTGTGCTTTCTTGGAAACTACTATGCACTGTGCTTTCTTAGAAACTACTATGCACTGTGCTTTCTTGGGAACTACCATGCACTGTGCTTTCTTGGAAACTACTATGCACTGCTTTTTTGGAAACTACTATGCACTGTGTTTTCTTGGAAACTACTATGCACTGTGCTTTCTTAGAAACTACCATGCACTGTGCTTTCTTGGAAACTACTATGCACTGTGCTTTCTTAGAAACTACTATGCACTGTGCTTTCTTGGGAACTACCATGCACTGTGCTTTCTTGGAAACTACTATGCACTGCTTTTTTGGAAACTACTATGCACTGTGTTTTCTTGGAAACTACTATGCACTGTGCTTTCTTGGAAACTACTAAGCACTGTGCTTGTTTTTTTTAGAAACTGCTGGGCATTGTGCTTTCATGCAACTACCAGACACTGGTATTTTTGTGTGGGAAACTACCATGCACCCAGTTTTGCTAACATTTAACGATACCATTTTTAAAAATGTAATTTTTTGAAAAATATATTCAGTGTTATTTTGTTTTCAGATAATTGGCTGTGTCGTGTCCTTGTTCATGATCTCGGCAAAACTAACATTTGTCATGTTGGGTGTGCTTCCGGTGGTTATCATAGGTGGCACCACGCTGGGTGCCTTGTTACGGTCACTGTCTAGAGATGCCCAGGAACAAATAGCAAAGTCCACAGCCATTGCAGATGAAGCTTTGGGCAATGTTCGGACAGTCAGAGCTTTTGCTATGGAGCAGAAGGAATTTGAGTGAGCAGCTTTGTTCCTTCTTCATACATTGATTGATATGTTTTCTTTTTTCTTCTACTGGGGGATGTTGATGTACTGCCTTTTCTCTATCTTGGATAGTTGTGATAAAGTGACTAAGCTTTTTGTCTCATTCTCTGAAAGTCGTTTTTTTCGTAAATCTGAAATAGTGGCTTTCTTTTGACAGACTCATTCAGTTGATAACTCTGAAATAGTGGCTTAATTTTTTAGGTTTTTTTTAAAACACTGTAATTCAATTCATAAGTAACTCTGAAATAGTGGCTTTATTTTTTGAGGTTTTTTTCTTACACTGTCATTCAGTTCATAAGTAACTCTGAAATAGTGGCTTTATTTTTTGGGTTTTTGTCAGTGTCATTCATTTAGTCAGAAACTGAAATAGTGGCTTTTTTTTTTAAAGAGGCTATTCAGTTCATAAGTAGTTTTTCCCAGAGTCTTTGGGATTACTGCTGGAGCTATATAGTTTGTGTTCTGTACAATGCTTTCAGCAGGTGATTAGCTACTCTGCAAACAGATACCAGATGTTGATGCTGTCACCATTTTGTGTGTTTGGTTTGACAATCATAATTTATATAGCTCACTTAATTTTTAAAATTTATTTCATTGTTGTGTAATAATTTGCCTGAAATTTACATTATGCATTGAAATATGTAGAATACTTGTTTGCGAGATTTACATTTTCTAGCTAAGTGTTCTTGTTTTCTGACAAACTGGTGTCTGTTCTTTCATCAAGTGTTCTTTTATCCTTGTTATATTTATCAGTACTGTGATGTGCACACATTATTCACCATTGAATGGAAAATCATATCTTGATTTATTGGCAGAAACTTGATAATTATCTTAAAACTGACAAAATTAATTTCACGTTTTTGACAGACTGTACGAGAAACAAGTGGACAAGTCTAGTATCATGAACCTGAAGCTAGGCATTGGTATTGGTGCCTTCCAGGGTGCCACAAATATTTTTCTCAACAGTAAGTCAGTTGTTTGTTTTCTGTATTGTGGTTGATATGAGGAGCCACTGCGGTGTAGGCGTTAGATACTTGGCTGCATATCTGAAGGTCATGGGTTCAAATCCAAATAGAGCCTGACTTTTTTCATAAATGACAGGTCGACCTAGCCTTAAATGGGTACCAGGTAAGGTGCTGGGAAATAAAGGCAGCTGGCATAATGTTAACCATATCACCGGCCAATAAAATATAGGTCTAGCCCTATTTACCCAGTACATCTGAAGGCACGGAAAGAATCCTTTCCTTCTTTACTTCTACTTTGATGTGAGCAATTGGTTTGTCTTTTGTTTAGCTATAGTTGCCTGTTTGTTAACTGTCGTAGAAGTCTGGAGGGGAATTTATAGTGCATTACCTCTTGTCGTCACTTTAGGTTATCAAACAAGAACCATAACTTCATTGCAAAATACAAGAGGAATGACAGAACAGAATTGCCTCTCTAATCTTAACATTTAAATGGGAAAGAAAATACATCTAATTATCAGAATGAAAGAGAGTGCTGAGATTTTACTGCCAACCTATTCTTTGTTGGAGGGGAAGAGAGGCAGAGGAAGACAGAGAGAAAGGATGCTGGTAAGTTTGACATCATGGCATGGAAGACCATCTGTATCAGAGTTGATTGAAAGACAGGTTGTGGATAGACTTGACTACCAACACCACACATCATGGCATGGAGGACCATCTGTATCAGAGTTGATTGAAAGTACAGGAGACAGAAGCTTGTGGATAGACCTGACTACCAACACCACACATCATAGCATGGAGGACCATCTGTATCAGAGTTGATTGAAAGTACAGGAGACAGAAGCTTGTGGATAGACCTGACTACCAACACACCACACATCATAGCATGGAGGACCATCTGTATCAGAGTTGATTGAAAGTACAGGAGACAGAAGCTTGTGGATAGACCTGACTACCAACACCACACATCATAGCATGGAGGACCATCTGTATCAGAGTTGATTGAAAGTACAGGAGACAGAAGCTTGTGGATAGACCTGACTACCAACACCACACATCATAGCATGGAGGACCATCTGTATCAGAGTTGATTGAAAGTACAGGAGACAGAAGCTTGTGGATAGACCTGACTACCAACACCACACATCATAGCATGGAGGACCATCTGTATCAGAGTTGATTGAAAGTACAGGAGACAGAAGCTTGTGGATAGACCTGACTACCAACACCACACATCATAGCATGGAGGACCATCTGTATCAGAGTTGATTGAAAGTACAGGAGACAGAAGCTTGTGGATAGACCTGACTACCAACACCACACATCATAGCATGGAGGACCATCTGTATCAGAGTTGATTGAAAGTACAGGAGACAGAAGCTTGTGGATAGACCTGACTACCAACACCACACATCATAGATTTCAAGAAGAAGATTCTGTTGCTAAGCAGAGATTTTGAAATGTGAGCAAAATGCATTCGGTAGAGTGCAGATGCAGACGAGGTGTGGTTTCTGAGATGAATATTGTAAATGTCTTCGATAGCCAGAGTAACTAATAATGTTTGCTTTGAATATAGTAATAAAATAAGATTACACTCGTTTTCTACACACTGTTCTTGTGAAGAGAGGAATCTGAGGATATCATGGTGGCAGAAAATGTCAGTGATAGAAGAGGCAGACTGTCCAAGAGGAATTGTGTAATTTGGTGGTAGGGAGGAATATCTTCAGTTTATCCACAACATCAAGGGCCAAGATCTGTGATTGTTTGATCCGATTGTCCCATCTAGACTGCTACAGTAACACTCAAAAGACTACAAGAACTTCAGGTCGAAAGAGGTGTCGCTAAACATGAACACTATACAGGTAGCCAAAGAAGAATAGGAAACTAACACAGAACTGAGACTGGCTGCACGCTGGAAGATAAACTGAAGATTGGATCTGAGCGCTTATGGACTTTTCTGATGTGCAGTCATTCAATCATTCGATTAACTTATATTATCTGTGAAGTCCTTCACCTGTGGGTTCAGGGACCCCAATGTGGGGGGAACAAGAATAGACCCACTGCCTCTCAAATAAACATGTCGTATGAGTCGACTAATTGCGAGCATCCTTCAAGTCGGAGTGTATCTGCCTGAGAGGCGAGGAACCAAGAGTTTGCATGCACTCAGTCTCTGGAACAATGTCTAAAGTCTAAATGTGACTGAGCAGCTAGAACTTCTGTCAAAGTTTACAGTCGATGAATGCGGAAAAGAAAAGAAGAGGAAATGTGAAGTCCTGTCACTTTATTTGCCCTTCACGAGCAGCCATGGGATGAGTATTCCGTTGTAAATGTCCCCCACACAGGTATAGTGTTGGGGTCTCTATTTACGGGTGGCTGGCTTATCTCTACACACAGGTATAGTGTTGGGGTCTCTATTTACGGGTGGCTGGCTTATCTCTACACACAGGTATAGTGTTAGGGTTTCTATTTACGAGTGGCTGGCTTATCTCTACACACAGGTATAGTGTTGGGGTCTCTATTTACGGGTGGCTGGCTTATCTCTACACACAGGTATAGTGTTGGGGTCTCTATTTACGGGTGGCTGGCTTATCTCTACACACAGGTATAGTGTTGGGCTTTCTATTTACGGGTGGCTGGCTTATCTCTACACACAGGTATAGTGTTGGGGTCTCTATTTACGGGTGGTTGGCTTATCTTTACACACAGGTATAGTGTTGGGCTCTTTATTTACGGGTGGTTGGCTTATCTCTACACACAGGTATAGTGTTGGGGTCTCTATATACTGGTGGCTGGCTTATCTCTACACACAGGTATAGTGTTGGGCTCTCTATTTACTGGTGGCTGGCTTATCTCTACACACAGGTATTGTGTTGGGGTCTCTATTTACGGGTGGCTGGCTTATCTCTACACACAGGTATAGTGTTGGGCTCTCTATTTACGGGTGGTTGGCTTATCTCTACACACAGGTACAGTGTTGGGGTCTCTATATACTGATGGTTCTCTTATCTCTACACACAGGTATAGTGTTGGGGTCTCTATTTACGGGTGGTTGGCTTATCTCTACACACAGGTATAGTGTTGGGGTCTCTATTTACGGGTGGCTGGCTTATCTCTACACACAGGTATAGTGTTGGGCTCTCTATTTACGGGTGGCTGGCTTATCTCTACACACGGGTATAGTGTTGGGCTCTCTATTTACGGGTGGTTGGCTTATCTCTACACACAGGTATAGTGTTGGGGTCTCTATTTACGGGTGGTTGGCTTATCTCTACACACAGTTATAGTGTTGGGGTCTCTATTTCCAGGTGGTTGGCTTATTTCTACACACGGGTATAGTGTTCGGCTCTCTATTTACGGGTGGCTGGCTTATCTCTACACACAGGTGTAGTGTTGGGCTCTCTATTTACTGGTGGCTGGCTTATCTCTACACACAGGTATAGTATTGGGGTCTCTATTTCCGGGTGGTTGGCTTATCTTTACACATGGGTATAGTGTTGGGCTTTCTATTTACTGGTGGCTGGCTTATCTCTACACACAGGTATGGTGTTGGGGTCTCTATTTACTGGTGGCTGGCTTATCTCTACACACGGGTATAGTGTTGGGCTCTCTATTTACGGGTGGCTGGCTTGTCTCTACACACGGGTATAGTGTTGGGCTTTCTATTTACTGGTGGCTGGCTTATCTCTACACACAGGTATAGTGTTGGGGTCTCTATTTCCGGGTGGTTGGCTTATCTCTACACACGGGTATAGTGTTGGGCTCTCTATTTACTGGTGGCTGGCTTATCTCTACACACAGGTATAGTGTTGGGGTCTCTATTTACGGGTGGTTGGCTTATCTCTACACACAGGTATAGTGTTGGGGTCTCTATTTACTGGTGGCTGGCTTATCTCTACACACAGGTATAGTATTGGTCTCTCTATTTACGGGTGGCTGGCTTATCTCTACACACAGGTATAGTGTTGGGGTCTCTATTTACTGGTGGCTGGCTTATCTCTACACACAGGTATAGTCTTGGGGTCTCTATTTACTGGTGGCTGGCTTATCTCTACACACAGGTATAGTGTTGGGGTCTCTATTTACGGGTGGCTGGCTTATCTCTACACACAGGTATAGTGTTGGGGTCTCTATTTACTGGTGGCTGGCTTATCTCTACACACAGGTATAGTGTTGGGGTCTCTATTTACTGGTGGCTGGCTTATCTTTACACACAGGTATAGTGTTGGGGTCTCTATTTACTGGTGGCTGGCTTATCTCTACACATGAGCTCAAGGCTGGTGACCTGATCTCCTTCCTGGTGGCAACACAGATGGTTGAGAGGTGAGTCTTATTCTTCTTCTACCTCCTATTCTTTCCCCTTGTCTTCACCCTCATCCTCCTCCTGTTTCTCTTGTCCTGATTTTTCCTTGTTTATCTTGAAAGTTGGTGTCCGTGGCTTAGGCCTTGTGAATGTGATAATTCCGAGGTACCCGGTTAAGTTCCAGCTGTAAGTGATTTGTCAGCATACCGCTTTTGCATTGATTTCAATAGTGGTATTCAGAGCTGACCATTCAGGGGTGGTGGCAAACTACTGAACATAAAATTACCTAGTGAACAAATGCTGGGATTGGTTCTACAACATTCCGTAAAGAATGCACAACTTTTTTTTAAATCTTGAAAAGAATATTGTATCGTTTTCAATACCAGCTAAATTATGGTATTATTGTGGTTGTAGTGAGTGGTTAGGAGTCATTGGCCAATAATTGTCTTAACTCTGTCAGAATATTTTGTCTCTTATTTTCTAAGGTTATTGTTGTATTGTATTGGGTGGGATCCACATTAAGGGAAATTTAGTTAATAATGGCTGCTTCAAGCTTTAGGGTGGACATTTGACCAGTTTAAATTATTACATTGTCAAATTGGATGCTGTGCTTTCCCTGTGTGGCTTCCAGGGCCCCATTTTTGGGGTACAAAGAATCGACCCTCTGCCACCGTAACAAGTCTGTTGAGAAAATGTGTTGGGCCAAAAGATGCAGATATCATAGCCTTGCTGTAAACCACAACACAATATGCCAACCATTATTTTAAGGTTGAAGGCAAAAGAAGAAAAATACTTTGATTAAAAGTAGTGTAGCACTTCCTTTCATAATGTTTTTATTTCGGCAGTGATATTAGCGTCGAACACTCAGAAGCAGTAGCAAACTATTAAACTTAGCATTGCTTAGTAGAACCTCAAACAACCAAGAAATGCTCGGATTTGTTTGCAGCATTATGTACAGGAAATGCAGCTATCTGTTCTGTTTGTAGTGTGTTGTTGAAGACCACTATTTCCCTTGTGGGTTCTGGGTCCCACTGTGGGGAAAATAAGAATAGATCCACTGCCTCCCCAGCAAGCATGTTATAGAGTCGACTAATTGGGGCTTCCTTTGAAGTCGGAGTGCATCTGCCTGAGAGGCAAGGAACCAAGAGCCTGCATACAAATTAGTCAGATCTGTAAAATTGATGTGCACACACCACACAGGCTCATGAGCAAGATTAAAGTCAACCAGAACTTTCCACCGCAGTTTACAGCCAGTGAAAAAGAAGAAAAAACCGCCAAAAACTCATTTCGGTAACTGTAGACAATTGGCATAATTAGACTGATGTTCCCAACCTTTAGTTGATTTCAAATGAGGTATGTCAAAGAAGCCGTGTACATACCACCTCTACCAAAAACGCTGGCCGACCTGCAGAACTGTATCACAGCTACTGTGAACTCAGTTAAGCAAGAGATGTTTCTTTGTGTGTGAGATGAGTTTGGCTACTGCATAGGTGTTTTCAGAGCAGCAGATGGTGGCTGTATTGAACATCTGTAATTTCTATTGTAAGTTTGTAAACTGATGTGTATATAATTAATGTAATATATATTTAAGGAAATATACATAAATAAAAGTGTCCATCATTTTGATTATTCCTGTAGTTATAATATTAGAATTGTTTGTATAACTAGCAGGTACTTGTGTTTATGTGCAACAGATCAATGGCACAGCTGTCCTTACTGTTTGGACATGTAGTCAGTGGGTTATCAGCCGGAGCCCGTGTGCTTGAGGTCAGTGGTCATTCGTGTCTATGAATTGTCTCACTGTATACAGCTTATTGTAGTATTTGAATGTCAGTCTTTGGTAACTATAATGTGGCAGTGTAATCTCTGTCAACTCTAGCCTCCTGCTAGATCATGTCTCTTGTCTCAATCCATGCTTGCATTTAAGTTTAGGGATCGTTTATTCTCTTACTTACTTACTTAGTCACTCTTCTTCTACCTTTGGATGTAGAGGTTTGCCAGACAGATCGCCAGACGTCTCTATCAGCAGTTTTCTTTCTGGCTTTGTTCCATTCCAGTACTCTGTCAGTTAGGGACTGTCGGATGTTGTCTTCCCAGCGGACCCTGGGTTGCCCTGGAGGTCTGCTTTCCTGGTTCTTAGCTTCCCATGCCTGTCCTGGTGGCCGAATTTCTCCCATTCTGCGGACTTGTCCATCATAACTGTGATCCATTCAGAATTAAATATCAACATCTTGACGTTTTGTCTGATTGTGGACTTTGCCCCTTCTTGTCACTTGGACCACCTTTATTCTCTAGAGGATATATCTGTAGCTATTTTCTAAACAGTTGGAAGAAAAAAGAAGGGAGCTGCTTACACAGAGTGGACAGAGCATTGCTTTTCTGATCCAGCAGTTTCTGGGGCACTGTTTATAACAAATGTATTGATAGTACCTTCCTTTGGAGTCACAGGGAAAGGCAGAACAGGTGATCATGCTGTATGTGCAATATGGCCGATGATTTGGGCTATAGAGAGCAGGAACTTCATTCCAGGCTTCATAGAAGACTTTTCCTAGCTTGAGTGGGTCTTGCTGGTGACACTCGCTGTGGCCATCGGCTGTGATTCTCCTACCTTCCTATAACACTTTCATATGGAGAGACAGAAGGGTGCCAACAGCTTTCACAATGCAAAGGGGATCTGTTGTGCAGATACCTGAACAAAACATGTTGCAGTGTTTTGGGTTTATCAGGAAATGAAGCAAAGTAAAATCAGTTTTCAACTGTATATTAAAATAAACTATTGCCAATTATGTCAGTTGAAGGAATTCGTTATAAATTTAAAGTTACTTTGGTAAATCATGCGACTATCTTGAAATTAAACACGTTATATCGAGAGAGACCTTTTGTATTTTAGTAAAATTAGTTTTTATGCTTCATTGTATGTTGCTGTAGAAATGCACCTGACAAGATACAGTAAAAAAAATACCTGGCAATAAATTGGGCAGTGTATTGTTTGTGTCCACATTATTTTATTTATCTACTAATGTTCACAGGTGAAACCACATCTCAATAAACATCACAGTCATCAGTAATATCAATAACATAATTTAATGAACTTGTTTATTTTTTTAAGTAATAAGTTTGACTGGAATTGTACATTTTTAATTTTTTGTAATATATATTCATTTGATTATTCTATTTGCAATTTTTCAAGTATATCAACCTGAAACCAACAGTGCTTCTGACGGGAGGACGCAAGATTCCATTCCACTCCTTCCTTGGAGATATCGAGTTTTCCGGAGTTCATTTCCACTATCCCTCCAGGAAACAGGTATTGGAAATATTATTGTTTTGTTGTTGTCATTGTTGATCACTTGCCTTGATTTTTTTATTGCATGATTTTGTTTGTTTGTGGGGGGGGGGGGGGGGGGGGGGGGGGGGGGGGGGGTGGGGGGGGGGGGGGGGGGGGGGGGGGGGTCTTGAATTGCTGTTAGTGTATTCAGATGACAAACATACTTTATTTTCAAAGGGTCATAACAGGGCTTCATTATTATATAACTCTTCTTCTTATCGTTAACCGTTTATAAACTCTGGTGAAAATTATGGTTTATTTCTGGACTTTAGTCTTGTTCTGGGACTTGAGTTGTCCATGCGCATCTATTTCACAGATCTGACTTATTTGTGTGGAGACTGTCAGTTCCTCACCTGTCGGATCATCACCTGTCAGATCATCACCTGTCGGCTCATCACATGTTGGTTCCTCACCTGTCCGTTCCTCACCTGTCGGTTCCTCACCTGTCGGATCATCACCTGTCGGTTCCTCACATGTTGGCTCATCACCTTTTGGTTCATCACCTGTTGGTTCCTCACCTGTCAGATCATCACTGTCGGTTCCTCACCTGTCAGTTCCTCACCTGTCAGATCATCACCTGTTGGTTCCTCACTTGTCGGATCATCACCTGTCGGTTCCTCACCTGTTGGTTCCTCACCTGTCAGATCATCACCTGTCGGGTTCCTCACCTGTCGGATCATCACCTGTCGGGTTCCTCACTTGTCGGATCATCACCTATCGGTTCCTCACCTGTTGGTTCCTCACCTGTCGGATCATCACCTGTCAGTTCCTCACCTGTCGGTTCCTTACCTGTCAGATCATCACCTGTCGGTTCCTCACCTGTCGGTTCCTCGCATGTCGGTTCATCACCTGTCGGTTCCTCACCTGTCGGATCATCACCTGTCGGTTCCTCACCTGTCGGATCATCACCTGTCAGTTCCTCACTTGTCGGTTTCCTCACCTGTCGGTTCCTCACATGTCGGTTCCTCACCTGTCGGTTCCTCACTTGTCGGTTTCCTCACCTGTCGGTTCCTCACATGTCGGTTCCTCACCTGTCGGATCATCACCTGTCGGATCCTCACCTGTCGGTTCCTCACCTGTCAGATCATCACCTGTCGGTTCCTCACCTGTCGATTCTTCATGTGTCAGGCAGATGCATTCCGACTTTAAAGGAAACCCCTTTAAATAGACTTTCTTAACATACTTGTTAGAGAAAGCTGTGGCTCTGTTTTGTTTCCCAAAAAACATGGGCTCTTAACCCACACATGAAATATAATTATTGAATAATGAGCAACTGGCTAGGTGGTTAGAGTGCTGGGTTATTTTTCAAGAGACCTGGGTCAAATCTTTGTTGGAGGCCACACAAAACAATACAAAATCCTAACCGGCACAGTTTGTGGTGACTGCCAGCCGTTTTCAATGAAGGAAGTCGACCATGTTGAACACCTGCGAGCAGTTTCAGTTGTAATTGTGGTCTGCTTTCTTTGTGCAAAGTGTACTGTTCTCAGATGTATTATTTGTGCCAATATCAGTTGCTGAATGTCCCTAATAGTGTGTCTTGTTATCCATCTCTGCATGTCTGGGTCCTGTCTTTTATTCGTTTGGTTTTATTAGTTGTCCTTTTTTGCCTTTCCAATTCCTAGTTTAGAATGTAATTGTAGTTAGTATGAAGGGATCCATCTCTTGTGGCCCTATATAGTATGTGTAGAGCCAAGATATTACAGTGAGTCTTGTCCCTTCTTTAGCGTCCGGTTGTTATTATACGTTTTTATCAATTTAATGTCTCAGTGAGGGTATTTTTGGCTTGTCTATGTGACTGCACTAGCCATGCGGCTCTAAAACCCTCATGCTGACAACTCCCCCAAAAAGTAGTACACACAGGCAGTTAAAAACAGGTTAATTTAATAATACAAGGTAACCCAAAATGTTCGTGGAATAGTTTACTCCTGTTTGTATGCTGTGACAGATGGAGCAGTTTATGGCTAGAGAGGTCGAAGAAGACAAGAAAACTTTCTTGGTAGCTTTTTCTTGTGTCATGGAAAGTTATCAGCACTCATTTGATCGGTGCTGTTAGAAACTGTAAGATGTGAAGTATGATTGTTCATGCCAGCAGCACGACATTTTATGTCAATGATGATATTTTTTTTCCCATTCAATTTACATTTTTACACAGAATATTAATCAGTTGTTTCCTTAGGATATGCTGAAATGTTTACAAAGAATATGAACAATTGTGTTTCCATATGATGTGACAAAATGTTTACACAGAATACAAACAATTGTGTTTCCATGCGATGTGACAAAATGTTTACACAGAATATGAATATTGTGTTTCCATACTATGTGACGAAATGTTTACACAGAATAAGAACAATTGTATTTCCATACTATGTGACGAAATGTTTACACAGAATAAGAACAATTGTGTTTCCATGCGATGTGACAAAATGTTTACACAGAATATGAACAATTGTGTTTCCATAGGATGTGCTGAACAACTTCAGCTTGAAGATTCCTGGTGGGAAGATGGTAGCACTGGTTGGGCTTTCGGGCGGAGGTTGGTAGTTGTCCTGTTTCGTTTATGATGTTGTTGTTGTTACGAGTTCAACTGTACCATGACTTCTACCTTTTGACCAAAGCTGTGTAGCAGTAGTAGATGCAAGTGCCTATCAGATGTATTCTTGTCTTGTCTGTCCACCGACATATGAGTAGAGGAACTGCTGTGTTCCCTGTTCTGGTTTGTAACGGGCCTCTTTGAACCAGGTCTCTTTATACCGGGTCTCTTTGTATCGGGTCTCTTTGTAGTGGGTCTTTTTGTACTGGGTCCCTTTGTACTGGATCTCTTTAAAGGTACCGGGTCTCTTTGTACCAGGTCTCTTTGTACCGGGTCTCTTTGCACCAGGTCTCTTTGTACCGGGTCTCTTTGTAGTGGGTCTTTTTGTACCAGGTCTCTTTGTAGTGGGTCTCTTTCTACTAGGTCTCTTTGTACCAGGTCTCTTTGTACCAGGTCTCTTTGTAGTGGGTCTCTTTGTACCAGGTCTCTTTGTATCGGGTCTCTTTGTACCAGGTCTCTCTGTACCGGGTCTCTTTGTATCGGGTCTCTTTGTATCGGGTCTCTTTGTACCGGGTCTCTTTGTATCGGGTCTCTTTGTAGTGGGTCTCTTTGTACCGGGTCTCTTTTTAGTGGGTCTCTTTGTACCGGGTCTCTTTGTATTGGGTCTCTTTGTATCGGGTCTCTTTGTATTGGGTCTCTTTGTATCGGGTCTCTTTGTAGTGGGTCCCTTTGTACTGGATCTCTTTAAAGAACCGGGTCTCTTTGAACCAGGTCTCTTTGTACTGTCTCTCTTTGTATCAGGTCTCTTTGTAATGTGTCTCTTTGTAATATGTCTCTTTGTACCAGGTCTCATTGGTATTACTAAGAGACTGGTCATTGTCAAGATTTCATAGAGAACATGAGACAGTCTTCTTCCCAATCAACTGCCATACTTCTCCACATCACAGTAGACGCTGGTTGATAACAATTTCACGTTTATTGGTCATAACACATGAACTACGAGAATCACTCTAACAGTCTGCTGACAATCTGCAGCATGACATGTGCTTTCCCCATCCAAGTTCCACATGTTTGCACTTTGAATCATACAGTCACCCTCAAACATTCTTCGTTGACATGCACACAGTTAACCCTCAGCAGGGCACATCAGTATCATCTTTCTTTCAGCCATCTTTCAATGTACCTTTCGATGCAGATGATCCACTTTCATTCAATGAGGCTCTGGAGCCTTGTCACAGAATGACTCCCTATTCAGCTCTTCCCCCAGTTAGTTATCTAGTCTTCCCAATTCAACTCACACAATCCCATGTTTTCACTCTCTCACGTTTTTTTCACTCTTTCACACCGACTTCGTGTCTTACAACCTAGAGATTTTCCTAATTCTACCAACCAATCAAACCTCTCACATTAATCCTATATTTCTCTCTCTCTCTCTTTCTGTCTCTCTCTCTCTTTCTATCTCTGTCTCTGTCTCTCTTTTTCACTCACTCTCTCTCTCTCTCTTTGTCTTTTTCTCTCGCTCTCTCTGTCTTTCTCTCTCTCTCTCTCTTTGTCTCTTTCTCTCTGTTGCTCTCTCTCCCTCCCTCGATATCTCTTTCTCTCTGAGTATCACCATTAAGTCTTCTCTTGTGGGGTGTAGTGTATAAAGTCAGTATTGGTTTGATTATATGAATAACTAAGACCCAGAGTGTCAGCGTAAAGTCAGTATTGGTTTGATTATATGAGTAACGGAGACCCAGAGTGTTAGTGTTAGTTTGTTTCTATGAATAACTGAGATCCAGAGTGTCATTGTTGGTTTGATTCTATGAGTAACTGAGACCCAGGGTGTCAGTATAAAGTCAGTGTTGGTTTGTTTCTATGAATAACTAAGACCCAGAGTGTCAGTGTTAGTTTGTTTCTATGAATAACTAAGACCCAGAGTGTCAGTGTTGGTTTGTTTCTATGAATAACTGTGACCCAGAGTGTCAGTGTTGGTTTGTTTCTATGAATAACTAAGATCTAGAATGTCAGTGTTGGTTTGTTTCTATGAATAACTAAGACCCAGAGTGTCAGTATAAAGCCAGTGTTGGTTTCTACAGGCAAGTCAACACTGGCTGTTCTGCTAGAGAGGTTCTACGATGCGACGGCGGGACAAATTACCATTGATGGCATCGACATCAGAGAGCTTGACCCTTCATGGCTGAGAGGTCATGCTATAGGCTTTATTAACCAGGTTAGTCAACAGAGCCATATAAAAGAAGTGCCTTATTTTCTGTTTAACTTTCTTTTCTTTAAACTTATTCTTGTAGAATGTCAGTAATTTTATGTTTTCTTGATCTGCTTGATATGTCAACATACTATAAATACTTGTGTATTGAAGTGCTGTGTGACAAAGACTTGTGTTGTCTCAGCGGGATCAACCAATGAACAGTCATGTCTTGGACATTGAAATACTTCAGGCATACTAAATGCTGCAGAGACTTATAATGGCCGGCAATTGTATGCATGGGAGAAGAGGTAGAGGGTCAATCAGTAGAAGAAATATGGACACAAGACATTAAATATACCCATGGACATAAAAATGCTACATTTTAGGAATTATTTCACTATTCTAGGAATTATGTTAGCAGTAAAAAAAAAAAAAAAAGGCAGAAAATGCGATGGTGTGGACACACAATAAGATCTGCCTGCCTCTCCAAAACAATACTACAGGGCTCTTTAAAGGAGAAAAAGAAGATGCAAAAAAGGATCTGGATAAAGAATTTGGTTAAAATGGCATGCCTCAGACATGCAAACATCAAGTCCATTGTATCTGACCGACGGACATGGAGGGACCTGATCAGAGGTCAACAGCAACTGGTGACCCAGAATAAATAGGGTATTGTGGGACTATGATGATTCTGTGAAGAAACCGACATGCTACAAAAGTCCTATGTTGTGATAAAAGTAAGCAAGTAAAGGGCACTTTTCCACACCTTCAGGTGTATTGGGCTTATAGGGCTAGACCTACATTTTATAGACTAATTGGCACTGCATGGGGGATGTGGTCAGCATCATGCTAGCCGCCTTTACTTCCCAAGACTGTACCTGATACCCACTCAAGTTTGGTATGATGATGTGTATTTATGCATGTACATAGAAATTGTATTAGGATTTGTCACTAATTATCATTACACACAAGCTTCATGAGAATCAGGTGCCTTGGTTATGTACCTCAGTTAGTTGTGTTTGTATTTCAGGAACCGGTGTTGTTTGCTACAACAGTTATGGAGAATATTCGTTATGGCAGACCTGACGCTACCGATCAGGAGGTAGGGAGTGTCTCTGACATTTTATATTTTTATAATCAAACAAATCTTACTTCACACTGGCAGCACTTACAGATTCTTCATCTCTCTCAAACAGTATATACCTACAAATGTTGTTGATAGAGTCAATTAATTATTACTTGCTTTATTACGCTTGCTCCTTGTTTCTTTTAGAAATGTTTGTTTTAAGCACCTAGTCAACAAAAGTCGACAGAAGTCAGATGTGTTGATTGAAAGGTACGGATACAACAACCAAGCTGTAAACGGCCCAAACACAATTACATCTTTAGATGAACGAAGAAGAACAAGAAGTTTTAAGCACAAATTGCTGGCTGTTTTTGTAGGAGCACATCAGGGAAGCAAACTGTTGCAGTACTGTAACTAGCCAAGCATATCATTCAAAGGTGTGTGCAAGTACAACATGAATGATACAAGTATTGTGGTAGAGTTGTGGCAATAGAATGCCATGGACCTGGTTGCATGGAATTGGTGTCATTAAAGGAGAAATTATTGCAGGTAGATTAAAAGTCTGAGAAGAAGTCAATCAAATACAATAACTGCTAGAGTAGGCCTGAAATTCCATGCTCTGATTGTAGAAGACTTTCTTAACATCTGCTAGTTGCAGACACAGTTGCCATGGGCTGTGGTTGCCATACCTCCCTGTAGCACATTATTACACTTGACTGGAAGGATGGAAAGGTGCCAGACAGTGAACGAATGAATGAATGAACGAACAAAGGAACAGAACAAACTTTATTTTCAAAGGGTTACAAATTGGGCAGGCAAGCGCATCTTACATTCAGCCCTTCCAGATACCCATCTTTCACTCAGCAGTTGTATTTTATCAAATAAAACTGTTTGTTAATAGAGCAATCTACATAATATGAATATCCAGAGAAAAAAATATGGATGATAAATGTATGCGAACATGCACATGGACCTGGTACCCATTCAAGGCTGGGTGTACCTGGGAGCCAAAATCTTTTTTTGGGATAAAAGTCAGACTCTGTTTGGATTTGATGCCACAACCTTCTTTAGAATTTAAATGGGCTCATAGAAAATTCCAGTTATGATGGTGGGTATTCAGCACCAGATGTTCCCGGTTCCACTCAAATTGGGAGACATCATTGAAGTGATTCTGGTTCACCTGTAGAAATAGAGCCGATTGAAAACATTTTTTTAATCAGCGCTGTCAAAATTCTCCATGTTGTTTAACTCTTATGTTACCAGATGACAGTTAAGTTATAAACAGGACTTTTTTTTCTAGAGAAAACAAAGAACTGACCACAAAGTGTCTCAAAAAGATGCCAGTACTCACCACAAAGTGTCACAAAAAGATGCCAGTACTCACCACAAAGTGTCACAAAAATATGCCAGTACTCACCACAAAGTGTCACAAAAAGATGCCAGTACTCACCACAAAGTTTCTCAAAAAGATGCCAGTACTCACCACAAAAAGTCTTTGAAAAAAGGTGTTGATACTCACCACAAAGTGTCTATTACCTTAAGTAAAGTTTGTGCTACTACGTACTTTTGCATACAGCCTGAAAAAAGCCCTGGATATAAATCAACAAGTGTTGCGTTCGTTTGACCAAAAGAATTAAAAAGTGAATAGCTTAAACAGTGGGAAAACATTTCTGTTGTCGATGGATGTATGAAACACATACACACCCTGTCATGCCGTGGGTATGTGACGTTAGCCTCACTCCAGTCTACACTCAGTAGCTACTGAGGTATCATTCTCTTTACGTTGATTTTGACAATGGTTTTTAGAGCCAACCCCCAGAAAGCAGTGGCAAACTACTGAGCATAAAAATGTCCCAGTTAAACCACAAAGAGTCAACAAATGCTGGGGTTAGCTCGCAACATCCTCTAAAGAGTGCTTTTAATTTGTGTATTATTCTAGCCTTCTTCTTTTTAGTGTTTACCGGCTGCAGACTCCGATGGAAAGTTCTGTGACCCCCACCCCCAACATCTAGACTTTAGTATTGTTCCAGAACTTAGGTAATTTTGCGCACATCTGTTTTACAGATCTGGCTTGCTTATATGCAGACTGTTGGTTCCTTGCCTCTGAGGCGGATGGCACTCTGAATTCGAAGGGAAAACCCCTAATTAGTCACTTTTTACAACATGCTTGTTGGTGGTGGGGGGGGGGGGAGGGGGAGGTGAAGGAGTTGCAGTAGATCTATTATTTTCCCTCTCACTGTGGGGCCCCGGAACCCATGTATTAAATATATTACCATCTTTCCTAGAAAATCTGCATCCATTTTATATTGTGTTCACTTAGAGCCTTTTTTTTTTTTTTTTTTTTCATTATCCTAAAATCTGTAAATCTTTAGAAATGGAAGAGGGTTAATAATATGACCACCTTGTCAGTTAGCAAACATGTTAACCACTGCTTCATCACAGCTCCTGTTATGTATTTACATGTGCAAATATTTATCCAGCTAACTAAGTTTACTTCCCCCTTTTTTATTTTTTAAATGTAATTCTTCTGCAGGTAATTGAAGCTGCCAAACTGGCCAACGCTCATCAATTTATTGAAGGCTTTCCGAATGGCTACAGAACTGTACTGGGAGAACGAGGGGTGACAGTTTCAGGGGGACAGAAACAAAGAATTGCTATTGCCAGGGCACTCATCAAAAACCCCTCTATTCTCATTTTAGACGAGGCTACAAGGTATAAACGTGAAAGTTATCAGTATATACTATGCTGTTCAATGTATTCTTCTGGTGCTACTCATGTAAAATCTTATTTTGTATTTTAAACAGCGATCAACATGAAAGAAGATGGATATCTGACTAATTTATTGCAGTTTTTACTTCATCTTGTTATTGAAACTAATTGTTCCAGTGTTTATTTGTTTTGTTCTCAGTTTGGAAAGTTAATTTAAATATTTATGTTTTCCTCAGTGTTGAAAACGGTATTTTAAGTGTTTTTTTGTTGTTGTTGTTGTCTTTTTAGTACTGTAAATGATTGTTAAAGTGTTTGAATATTGTTTCTTCTCAGTATTGTAAATAAATGTTTTATCTTTGAGTAATATGTCTTTTCGATATTGTAAATAATTGTTTAAGTGTTGAAGTAATTTGTCTTCTCATATTGTAAATAATTTTTATAGTGTTCATGTTTTCTTCTCAGTGTTGTAAATTATTGCTTCTGTGTCTTAGAATATATTTCCCCACAATATTGAGAGATGCAAACTATATGTAACAATGAATGACTATGTATTTGTGTTTTCAGTTCAGTATAAGGCCACACTGATCAGATTTCTTGAGATTCCATGAACATAGCAGTAACCAAAGAGAGTAGCACCAAGAAAAGTAGACTGTCTCGCACCAAGAAAAGTAGACTGTCTCGCACCAAGAAAAGTAGACTGTCTCGCACCAAGAAAAGTAGACTGTCTCGCACCAAGAAAAGTTGACTGTCTCGCACCAAGAAAAGTTGACTGTCTTGCACCAAGAAAAGTAGATGGCCTCGCACCAAGAAAAGTAGATTGTCTCACTTCCAAAAGCAGAGAGAGATGCTATATTTTAAAACTGCACACTGCTGTACAAAAGTATTTTTAATTTGTAGCTAAAGTTGTTTACAGCCAGATTTGTTCAAAAATGAAACTCTTAACAAGTCATGGAAGCCCAGTTGGAAATATATTATTTGCTAATTTTTGTGTTCTCTGTTATTTTTACAGTGCTCTGGATGCTGAGTCAGAGAGGCTGGTCCAGGAAGCCTTGGATCATGTTGTGAAAGGTGAGTTTGTTGTGAAGGGTGAGTTTGTTGTGAAGGCTGAGTTTGTTGTGAAGGGTGAGTTTGTTGTGAAGGGTGAGTTTGTTGTGAAGGGTGAGTTTGTTGTGAAGGGTGAGTTTGTTGTGAAAGGTGAGTTTGTTGTGAAGGCTGAGTTTGTTGTGAAGGCTGAGTTTGTTGTGAAGGCTGAGTTTGTTGTTAAGGCTGAGTTTGTTGTGAAGGGTGGAGTTTGTTGTGAAGGGTGAGTTAAAGTTTGTTTTAAATGTATTTAATTGTTGGCTTAAACACTTCTGCTGCATCTAACTCTTGAAATAAATGAACGCACTGCAAATAACTGGTGGCAGAATTGTTCTACTGCGCTATATTTTTAAAAAGAATTTCTTTCAGCAATTCAAAACAATGTTTTCCTTTTTGTAAAACTGTAACAATGCACCTGATGCGAATTCACAAAATACTTCATGCAATAAATTTTGTAGTGCATTGTTTACGAGATAATTATTTCTTTTTTAAAATGTGTATGTTGTATCTAATTGTTAACAAAGTTCACTGATGCAGATGTGGATTTGTACCAAAGACCGAGTTAGCAAGTCTAAGCCCCTAAGCTACCATCTTTCTCTTTCTATACCATGCATTGTTGTAAATTTGTATGTGCATCTTCTACCATCTTTTTATGTTTTGTATAATTCTTCTTCTTATAGCCCGTGCCGTGCTTTGTTGATAGTCATGCTATCCACAACCTTCTGTCTCGTGTACTTTTAGCAAATTCTGACACAGATGATCTTCCATGCCGTAGTGTCAAACTGTCCGGCATCTTCTCTATCTTTCCGCTCCATCTTTGCCACTGTTGTGAGATACTCCAGTTTTTTTCTGGCTGCGTTAACGCAGGTGATAGGAGGCTCGCTTTTATATCCAGCTGCGACTTGCTGCAGCCCATGGCCCGTGTTCGAAACCGGGGTTCACTCAGCCTCTAGGAAATGGGTACCACAGTTAACACTCTGGGATAAATGGAGGAATGTTGCTGAAGCTCTGGAGTTTCATGCAGACGGCGACACAGGCAGTTTCTTATCAGCTGTCTGTACCGTGTGTATATATATATATATATATATTCTTGCTTGCTACATACATCCAGTTTTAACAAATGGATGTTAATCCTGGACAATCGGTAGGCAGGTCAAACCATTTTTAGAGGCAGAGATGTGGTTTTACAGAAGAATGCTTAGAATACCTTGGACAGCCAAAAAGAGCAGCCAATAGGTTTTAAAAGAGGCGGGAGCCCGAAGACAACTTATCACAGACATCAGAAGGAGACAATCATCATTTTTCGGCCATGTTATGAGAAGAGGGAAAATAGTACATGTTGTGACCACTGGAAAGATCTGTGGAAGGAGGGATAGAGGAAGATAACAAGAGAAGATGCTTGACAGTCTTGTTGCATGGCATGGAGGTGTATCGGCACACGAACTGATACATGCTGCAGGAGATCACAGATTATGGAGAGGCATGATCGCCCACGCCAGTCGGCAAGGCACCTGATGATGATGATAGAGAGAGAGAGATCATTGAGAATGTCTTACTCAATATTATATATTGTTTTCTATTTTTTTAGTACTTTTTAAACTTTTGAATGCAAAACATGTTGCTTGAAAAAACTGGCCATATTATGTTGTATTGTTACAGGAAGGACAACTCTTGTGATTGCCCACAGACTCAGCACTATACGAGATGCAGATTTGATCGCAGTTATCTCCAAGGGACGACTCATGGAGGTATAGATTATCTCATTTACATTGGGTTGTATGTTTACAGTGAAATAACAAAACTCTGTGGTAGGAACTTTACCAACCCAGACAACATTGGGTTGTATGTTTACAGTGAAATAACAAAACTCTGTGGTAGGAACTTTATCGACCCAGGCAACATTGGGTAAAATGTCCAGTGGTATTGCTGCATGAGGCATTTTTAATTTCTGCCCAGAGACCAACAGAATAGTTTGTTTTGTGAGGTAATAGAATGTGGATTTGAACACATGAATGTTGGGCTGCATGCAAACCACTAGGGTTTCAGTGGTTCCTTTGTTGATGATTGCTAGTCAACATTCAACCTAGTGAGTTAAAAGCATTAACATTGTGAGCAAATTCAAATGTTTTAGTTTTTTACATATCTGCTTATCCGCCGAGCGAAAATACGTCTCCTCGGGGATAAAAACAAGTCTACCAGTGCATGCTGGTGCATCGTAGGGGTAGATGCTCACCTGTTAGGTCTTAAGTTTAAATCTTCATCAAGTCAAGTGTTTTTAAAAATGACCTTGGATCCCACGTTGACTCAGCCAAAAACAGGTACCAGGAAATGTCCTGGGAAGTAAAGGTAGTGTTGTGTACTAAGGTGTGCAATAATCAGCACATGACCAAGTGTCCACGGGTACAGATTTACACTTGACACACTTGAGTTAAGACACGACGCTGTCATCTCCGCATACATCAAGTTTATTGATACAACACAAGAGGATATTCACAAGCTCTCACATTGACAATACTTCATGCTCAGAGACGTAGACATTGATCCTAATTGGCATTCGAACATAGTCCTCACTCTCTCTTTCCTAACTTGTAGCGACCTCTCCCTGACCACTACAGCTCATAAGGTCTATAGCGTCCCACAACTCTAGGCGCACAGAAGAACAGGAACAACTCTCATATTAACTGGACCTTGATTCTACTTCAGCAGACACCTCGGCGGACTGGAAACAGACTTCACTCACTCGTTCTCTTACATGTGCCCACAGCACATCAGCCTGTCGAAGGACTCCGATGACCGACAAGACTTCTAGCACAAGTCCCCTCTAGCACACAGCTCTCGTCAACTTCCCCACTGCTCTGCTCATCCTATGCCTCCCTTGCGTCATCACCCAGAACAGTTACTATTGGAGCGTCCAGTCCCCTTGGCCTAACTTTGCCAGCTGGACTCTACCTTCAAACTGTACCGTGCCCGAGACTCTCACTCAGGCCTGACTGTCTGACGGGTACACAGTACTCTGTCTGTCTGACTCTCACTCAGACCTCACTGTCTGACGGGTACATGGTATTCTGTCTGTCTGACTCTCACTCAGACCTCACTGTCTGACGGGTACACTGTACTCTGTCTGTCTGACTCTCACTCAGACCTTACTGTCTGACGGGTACACTGTACTCTGTCTGTCTGACTCTCACTCAGACCTCACTGTCTGACGGGTACACGGTACTCTGTCTGTCTGACTCTCACTCAGACCTCACTGTCTGACAGGTACACGGTACTCTGTCTGTCTGACTCTCACTCAGACCTCACTGTCTGACGGGTACACGATACTCTGTCTGTCTGACTCTCACTGTCTGACAGGTACACGGTACTCTGTCTGTCTGACTCTCACTCAGACCTCACTGTCTGATGGGTACACGATACTCTGTCTGTCCTGACTCTCACTCGAGTACTCACGATCTGACTCGAGAGATGCTGACTGACTCGAGAGATACTGACTGACTCTGACTGACTACGCAGTCCCAATATATCCTTGCTGGACCCATGTGGGCGGCGGATGTTACACGACAGGCATGTTAGTGTGGGTGTTCTCAGACTACACAAAAATCACTCATTTGGGTGTCTCAGGCATACATGAAAATTACGCTGGCAGATATTTCGTACTTCTTCATATGTGCGTCACGTTAGCCATGCCTATCAGCCCCCGCAATAAGCACATGCATACACTTTCTCAGGCGTTCATGTCTCTTCTGTGCCAATACATTTCTCACTGGTCCCAACATTGACTCCCCCTCACCACTTGGGCCAATGTTGACACTGTTCACTGGACATTCCCTTGAACTCCCAGAAATAACTATCATACCACTTTGTCCCTTCCCACAATAATACAGCTGTCCCAAATCAGCATGCAACAGGTAGCTGGAATGATAATTATCACCTCATCCAACAGGTGCCTATTGATCTGTAAACAAGTATAGGTCTGGCATGATATACCTGATGCACCACTGTTGTGAATAGGATTCTTTACTTACCTACTGTTTACCATAACAACTGTTTTGTGTACCCTTTTGAAGGAGGGCTAACATTCTTGTCTGTCTGTCTGTTCCTGTAACAGCTGGGCAGTCACCAACAGCTGAAGGCCAAGAAAGGAATCTACTGGGAGCTCATCAAGAAACAAGAGTTGGAGGAGGAGCTCGAGAACAGCTAGCCATGACCAATAAATTACAACTGATTTTATATTTGAACCTCACATGAGACATCATTTTGTTTCTGTCTTGACAAATTTAACATCACATTAGGCCTAACTTTGTTTCTGTGTTACCAAATTTAACATTACTTACAGAAGGGGGAAAAAATGGGCGGGGGCGGGGCGTATATATATATATATATATATATATATATATATATATATATATATATATATATATATATATATATATATATATATATATATATATATATATATATATACAGAGATAAAATTAGGTTTTCATGTGATGTTAATGAATGAATGAAGGACATCACTGTACTCAAGCCACACATGCTCCATCCCCTACCTCAGTAGCGAACAATACGCTAACAAACTGATTTAAAGTATATATACATACATACACAGTACAGACAGCCGATAAGAAACTGTCTGCCTTTGTGTTTATAGGTTCTGGAAGATATTTAAAAATGAGGGGGGGGGGGGCAGGAACATAGATGGACTTTAAATCAGTTTGTTAGCTCATTGTTCGCTACTGAGGAAGGGGATGGAGCATGTGTGGCTTGAGTACAGTGATGTCCTTCATTCATTCATTAACATCACATGAAACCTAATTTTATCTCTGTCTTACCAACTTTAACATAACATGAGACCTAATTTTATCTCTGTCTTACCAACTTTAACATCACATGAAACCTAATTGTATCTCTGTCCTACAAACTTTAACATCACATGAGACCTAATTTTATCTCTGTCCTACAAACTTTAACATAACATGAGACCTAATTTTATCTTTGTCCTACAAACTTTAACATAACATGAAACTTAATTTTATCTCTGTCCTACAAACTTTACATCACATGAGACCTAATTTTATCTCTGTCTTACCAACTTTAACATAACATGATACCAAATTTTATCTCTGCCTTACCAACTTTAACATTACAGGAGACCTAATTTTATCTCTGTTTTACCGACTTTAACATCACAGGAGACCTAATTGTATCTCTGTCCTACCAACTTTTAACATCACGCAAGACTTAATTTTATCTCGGTCTTAACAACTGATTACAACTGATTTAATTGTTGTCTTCTTGCTAAGCTGAATATTGTTTAAGCCTAATTTTTTCACTTTGTCTGACCAAGTTTAACTACAATAAAAACTGATTTTCTGTTTGCTTTACCAGGTGTAAGCACACAAATACATCTGTTATATATGGTTTAGATGTTGGCTGGTTGTATACACAGAATGCATTTGTATCATCCATTACATTTGATAGAATTTCTGATTACATGATACTTGTGATTCTGTTGCAGTTAATTCTTCTTTCTTCAGCAGTCATGGTTGGTTATGTGCAGTTATGTCACAGGGTATGTCAAGAGCCAGGGAAATGGCCCTGAATGAGGACCGGAATGAAACAAAGCTGAAAAAAAAACTGCAGATGGAGAAGTCTGGCAGTCTCTCTGGCAAACCTCTTCACCTCACGGTGGAAGAAGATCAACTAAGTCAAGTCAATTATGGCATAGAGGAAAGTGTATCTCAAATCACTCCCCCCCCCCCCCCCCCCAAGAATCTGTTTAGCTGGGTGCTTGTATAGGTGATAATTCCATTCTCTGTCTGAAAAAGTCTCAACAACCTTTCTGGATATCTGGCTTAATATTGACTACATTACCAAAGCAAGTCCCAGTTTGATAAAACATATGGGTCTAGACGACACATGTGCCTGATTGTGACAAAGTATAATTTTTACTCTATAGGATATACTCTGGAGTGTCCTGTAGTGCTCTGCAACTGTATTTGGCCGAATCTTTGAGACACATTTGGCGGTCTGAACTCATAATGCACTTTCTCAAACAGTAGAACTTGTCAGAAAATGCAAAAAATTAAGGGTGGCTAATTTTGACTGAATTTAAGTATAACACCCAACCATTGTCGTTACCAGAAATCAGAACACTTATCAAGGGAAAATACAAGAAATTGTGAAGAGAACAAACTAACAGTAAACATCCACAAGAGCCCATCAGCAAACTCAACAGAAAGCAACATACAACAATTTTCTGTCAATGAACAGGACACTGCAGGCTCAACTACCACATGCATAAAATAAAGATTGTGCAGTCCCCACAGTGTGTCTGTCAAACAGGACCACAAACACCTGAGCACATTCTGCAGACCTGCCCACTCTACCTACAACTTCAAAAAGACATCTGGCCTCAAAAGCAAAGTGTGCAGAACAAGCTGTGGGGAGCCATGAAGGACCTGCAGCTGACATGCTAGTTCATAGAGGCAACCCACCTGATGGTCTGATCTGAGCATACGAACGCAAAGAAGAAAAAGAAATAGGTAAGCCAGCAAAAAATTCAATGCAGGGCGTGCTGGACATTTAACATCATCATGCGGATTTGTTTTGACTTTCTTGCAATCTCGTATCATTCAAAATTCGTTATGTTCAGCTAGAAAGTTCAACACAAGGAAAGGGAAGATGCATTCAGATAGATACAAACAAACATTTTGACCATCTTAACAAACAAATCTATAGACATGCTAAGCTGTAGAAGAACGCAAAAGAAGACTAAGCTTCTGTTTGCTTATTGAAATCTTTATTCTGAATATCATCGGCATGTGCCTTGCCAGATAGTCATAGGTGTTCATCTCTGTATATAATAGATCTTAGTCCTTGATATTCTGGGTCATAGTGTTTTTGACATTTCTTCCATGCACCTTCTTAAACTATTCAGGATCATCCCCCCTTCCTCTCTATCTCTCTCTCTCTGTCTCCCTCCTCAACCTCCCCTTCCCTCTGTGTCTTCTACTACTGATCTTTCCATTTCTGATTTTCACCAGTGCCTTCTCATTACACTGTGAAAGAATACTATCTGTCTGTATGTGTATCCGTCTGTCTGTCTATATATCTATCCGTCTGTTTATCCTTCTGTCTGTCTGTATACCTATCCATCTGTCCATCTGTTTATCTCTCTCTGTCTATCTATCGGTCTGTCCGCCTATCTATCGGTCCGTCTATCTACCTATCTATCTGTCTATCTATCTATCTATCTATCTAGCATCTATGTATCTATCTGTCATTCTATTATATACCCTCGTCAAGTCGTTGTCAGGTAAGGCCCCCACAAGTGATCGTCACCGTTAGCGGTCTACTGCTATTCTGGCCAAGGCATCCCATGATGGGCGGAGCTGGGCCTGTGTTCGTTACATGTTCCATTCTTTGTTCTCTGAAATGGAATTCCGGAACCTAACTGACCCTCCATGGAAGTCTAACCCTGGTGCGTATGGTGATTGTGAATGAGAAATAGTAACGGTTTTTAAAAACAAAAACAAAGGGAGACCAAGACAACAAAAGGTTAAAGTACACAACAGATTCGATTAAACAAACAATTTAGTTGCAAATGCTTTACAGATAGAATCAACCCTAGCATTTTTTGACAGTTGTGGATTTTCTAGGCAAATTTTGCGTTCAGTAGTTTGCCATTGCCTACTGAACAGTCAGCTCTCGGTACCACTGTCGAAACCAACGCAAGACAAGTCGTCTGCAGCTGGGATCGAACCCGGGATTACGAAGTGTGTTCGCAACGCTCAAGTCACAGACGTGGATATATTATGAGTTACAGCTAGACTGATTTACACTAGAGGAGAAGAAGAAGCTGGACCGAAAGATGAAGGAATTAAACGAATGGAAGAGAGTTTGATCACTTGACTTCATCGCATGAAGAAAAGCAATTGGTACATAGTCACATAAAATGTGTGATTTAGAAAATCGTGGTCGCCCATGTAAGTTGAAAAAATATCAGAATATGTGGACATGAGAGGAATTGAAACCTGTTACCTCCAGTTGACAGGAATTGGAACCTGTTACCTCCAGTTGACAGGAATTGGAACCTGTTACCTCCAGTTGACAGGAATTAGAACCTGTTAACCTCTAGTTGACAGGAATAGGAACCTGTTACCTCCAGTTGACAACAGCTCTGCTCTGTCATTAATGTTAAGTACTAGGCATTGCCGTTTTCTGAAACGAGAAAGCGATGACGGCTGACTGACTTTCTACCCCACGAGGACATCACACAAGCGATAAACAACTGATGACACAAAGTGCCACCATGTGGATGAGGATCATCGTGGAGAGGTCCCAGAAACCGCGTTCAGCCAGTTGGCCATATTTATGGCCTGGTTAAATTGCGGCCCCTGGCAAGAGCCAGGTGGGGCTTCAAATAACGAAAAAGGTCATCCTAAAAAGGACGGCAAATAGGTGGTTAGAGAGAGAGAGAGCGATTCCTTCCCGCGCTTTATATACACAAGCGCGCCTGTGTGAGACCGTCGGCTGTTACCAGATCATATCACCAAACGGTGCAGGGATATCGATTATGGAAGCATTATAACTGCGTCATGTATTTACACACACAGGGAAATCTAGCAATAGAACACGCCTGTACCCGATGGAGACATAAAAATGCCATCAGCACGTTGTAAGTATAAGTTGTTTTCTCAACAATACTTTGTTACTGTTATTGTTACTCTGATTCTCCCGTGACTACTCTCTTCCTATGCTAGCCGGCAGATTTAAAAGTCGTTGGTTCAAAGGCCAGATTTTCCCCCGAGTCATTAACGCGGGAAGTAAAGGCGGCCGGCGTGATGTTGACCACATCACCCATCGAGGTATTAGTCTATACAAATGTGGGTCTATCCTCATGTACTTGAAGCGAAAGCCTGGGTGCCAAGACAAATATAAAAAGAGTTCGTTAGGCGGGGACTGGAACCAGATCTTTTGTATACAGTCTAAATAGCAGTAACAGTCAACTAGGCACACTAACCACAAGTCCTTATCTGAATCAAAACAACTAGAACTATAATTATTAGGGCTGTACCGAATGGTGATTTTAACTATTCGGCCGAATACGAATAACAGGACCAACTATTCGGCCGAATACGAATAGTGTATAAAATATATCTAGAAAAAAAAAAAGATTCATAATGTCAAATGTACGCT